CCCCCCCTGCCCCCCCGGCAAAAAGCCATGGAGACAATAAAGCCCCCGTGGGGAAACGCTGCGGCTCCCGTGGTTTTCGGGGAGGGGTGACCAGGGAGGTGGCTGGGGGGTTCACACGGTGGTGGCCACCCCTCCCGCCTGGACTCGTGTCCCCTGGGCTGGCAGCAACCCCTGCCCCTGCCTGCAGCACCCAGCAAGGCTGCAGACCCCAGGCTGGGGGGGACCAGCCCCCCCAGGCACATGTGCCCATGGCACAGCCACCACCCATGGCTCTGCTTGCTCTGAGGGGCAAAACCAGACCCCGCTGGCAGCCCCAGCTGCCCTCCTGGCATGGCTAAGCTGGCACTCAGCCCCCTGCAGCCAGCGGTGCATGCCCACATACAGCCCCCAGGAGGCCCAAAAGGCTTTTTGAGCGGGGCCAGAGGTGCCCCTGGCCAGCAAACCCAGGCCGCGAGGGCCCCGCGGGCTGGCAGCTGAGCCGCTCTCCCTGCCCGTGGCCCATTAATCTGAGCAGAGCCCAAGGATCTGGCAGCAGGATTATTCTCTTCCCCAGAGCCGAGCCCCAGCTGCAGGGGATTAATGCTGGTGGTTATATAAAGGAGAGGGGGGCTGGCGCCCGCCAGCGCTTGGCCTCAGACCCCAGCCCACCCCACATGCACCCAGGGACCCGCTCAGCAGAGCAGGCTGGGGACGTCCCCAGCCCGTGAACAAGCAAGCGGTGCCAGCCCGCACCCCGGCCAGCAAACGACGTGGATGCTTGGGATGCTCAGGCCCACAGCATCCTTCCCTGCCACAGAGCTCGGGACCCCCGCCACAGAGCAGGGCGTATTTTTTAGCTCAGTGCTGGGGCAGAGAGAGGGGCCTCGGGGCAGGGGAAGCTGCAGGAGCCTGGGTCACAGGACGGAGCTTGGGACCTCGGCACTGGCAGCCAGCGGGCAGTGACAGATGGTCCCGCGCTCCACGAGACCCCCCCTGCCATGCGGCTCCCTCCGGCTTGATCCAAATCCAAGCCTCGGCGTGAGATTTTCACGCTGATGGACCGCCGCAGGAATCCGGGGTGGAAAACCAGGTCACGGAGCCCCAGGCCGGGGGCAGGGACTGTTACCTAACTCCAGCTTCCCTCCGCACGCTCCCTTCTCCTGGTCCATCACCTGCCGGCAGCGGGACAGGGCAGCAGGCAGCACCTTGGGGCAGAGCCACGGCCAGCTCAGCCATCAAAGCATCACCAGGACACCTGGATCCCTCCCAAAAAGGGGGGGTTTCCGCCTTTGGGAAGTCACATGAAGGGCTGCCAAAAAATCCTGAAGTCTTGCATAAGCTCAGCTGCAACAACAAAAGCAGGGCACCATTTACAAACAATGCAAAAGAGGATTTATTGAAACCATTCCGGTTAGACCAAGTCCTATAGGGAACAATTTGCAATAAGTTAAAGAACCAAACCAAACGGTCTTAGTGTTAAAAACCACACTAATACATAACACAGTGATATATGCCATCATCACCCATCTGAGTTATTGAATCAAGGCACAAAGTCATTCATTCAATACTGCAAAAAACCAATTACATAGGGAAATAAGCTGGGAAAAGGACTTGTTTTGTTAAGAAGGTGCTGGTTTGGCACTGATGCGTTTAATTGAGCTGCCACAGGGAAATCTGCGTTTCCAAAGTATCTGGAAACATTAATGGATAACTTAAAGCCAGAAAAGCCCCTCAAAGCCAAAAATCCAGCCCTCCTGAAGGAACATACAGTGTGCCGACGGGGAAGGTCAGGTCTGGGTAGGGAATCGGAGCAGGGAGAGAGCTGAGACGCTGTGACTGAGGTGAGAATACGGCCCCGGCACCTTGCTCCCTGCCAGGGGAATTTCAGTGGGATACAATCTGCATCCAACACACAGATCGGGCTAGCAGGCAAGCCTGGGGCTCCCACGGCCCGGCTCCCGGCTCTGCCCCAGCCGGCGGAAGGCTGAATCCGGCCCTCACAGCCCGGGTTCTGCCGTGCTGGTGCAGCCCGTGACCCCTGCGACGCCGGCTGCTAGGCTTCAGGTCTTCTTCATGCTGTGCAGAGGTGACTTAAGCTAAGGGACACAGCAGGGGAGTCTCCCTGCACCCCCAGACTCACTCAGAAAACAGCTTGGAAAGAGGAAGAGAGGAGGAAACCCACCTTTTGAGTCTAGGGAGCTTTGGGGGTTGTGGAGCGCTCTCCTGGGAGCATCCCCGGCTTCCCGCAGGGCCCAGACGCCCCAGGACTGGGCTCTGCCAGCAGCACTCATCCTACGTGGCTCCCCTGACTGCCTGAGCCGTGGTCATGGGAGTCACGGCTCCCCTTAGGCAACTACCGGGCCGCTGGAAGCAGGAGGTAAGCAGCCAGGCGGACCACTGATGCTCCAGCTCATTTTGCTGCAAGACCGGGAGAGCTGAAGCTGCGGGTGTGAGCCTGGGTGACACCAGCTGCCGGAGCCAGGAGCTGCCCTGCAGCAAGCTAAAGCTCAGCAGCTGCCACAAGAGAAGAACTGATGCTCGACCCTACACAACCTGGCTTAAGTTTCTCATACTACAGTATTTCTGCACACCCCTCCATGTGAAACTAGGCAAGGGAGGGAAGCAATGGCCAAACCCCCTCCAGCACCGCAAAACTTGAGAGAGGTTATTTTTAGGGTGTGTGTTTTCTGCCCGCCTTCCTCTCAGCAGTCAGATGGATGCCCAGCAGCACACGGACAGGGCTCGTGTCTCAGCGCGGCTGCTGTGGGGACTGCACCTTTCAGAACTGACCAGCCGATTCAAACTGTTTTCCAGGCTTTGCACCTCATTTCTACAGTCCACACTGGTGCCCGCCAAGGAACGGGGCAAGAGCATACACACCATGCTACAGAAGTCTCCAGCGGAGACATCATCTTCACACAGCAACCTGTCCCATTCCCTCAGGCTACCAGGCTGAAAGAACAGCGCCTGAAGATCCTCACCCAGCATCACTTCAATTCCGAGGGCAGGGAGGGAGCCAAGAGCTCTCTGGAGCTGTGCTGCTGAGACAGCTTGCGTTGTTTCCCCGAGCGGCTCATGCCTGCCCTCCAGCCTGCCCACCTCCTGGCAGAGGGGACAGTGCTCAGAGAAGGCTCCTCAGTAGCTGCAAGACTGAAAAGAGTATTTGCAGGAGAGCTGGCATTGCCACTGGGGTACAGGGCTCCCCAGAGCGGCAAGTCTGGCTCCCAGGCAAGGTTAAAGTGCAATTCTACTCTGAAAAAAATGCCCTAGATCCCCTGGCACCTCAAAACCAGTAGGAGAGGTGGTGTACGTACCGGCAGAGACCAGCCAGCCTGGTCTCAGGGTGGTTTTCATATCACCTATAATCAGATTGAGGACAAGGAGGAACGTTGATGCATAAATCAGGGGGGAGACCAGCTCCCTTTCTGCGTCACCAACGCTGCATGGCCTGGCTGGAAAGGAAGCAATGGAAGAGACAGACACAGGTAGGCTTGTGACTGCAGAGTGGGGCACACAGGGCTGTTCTTTGGAGAAAAGGCCATTTTCTAAGTAGAATGTCACTTTAACCTGCGCTCTGCGGGCCCGTGTGACCCCCAGCCACATCACCAACCATGGCTGGTGTCCATCACTACACACACCCCACGACTATCAAAGCAGGGGCCAAAATTCAGGAGAGGGCAATTGCAAATCAACCTGCGGCCAAGCACCTCTCCCACAGCCAGGAGAGCTGACTCAGAAAGGAAATCTACCACCACACATCGAAGCTCCACTTCTCACGCAAGCACCCAAGAAATAACCAACTCCGGCATCCCCAGCAAGCATGGGTTTTCCTCCAGACACAGGCTGAGTCATTACAGTTCTGCGGGCACAGAAGGATCAAGGGGAAAGCCCTCTTCCTCAAGCTGACAACACTTCAGTGGTGACCACACACTGAAGTCCCACCAGCTCTGAGGACAGACGCACTGGCAGCTGCCCCCACAGCCTGGGTGCCCCCAGACACTGGGGGTGCTTCCCCGCCAGCCATGCTTTGGTTTGCAGATCGAGAAAGGCAGCTTCCCATTTGAATTCGTGATCTGGGTTTGCTAAGAGCATGGCTGCAGAGGAGAGGCAGCTTGGAGACGCCTGGGCCAGGGCAGCCTCTCCCCCTCCCTCGGGCAAGCTCACACTCGGCTGTGGAATCGCATCCTGTAGAGGCGGTCCCGGACGTACTGCTCGCTGTCCACAGCCACCTGGCTCAGCCAAATCACCCTGCTCTCGGAGACGTCCTCCTTCAGCTTACGCTTCATCAGAGACACCGACCCTGGCTCCTCGCTGGGTTGAGGGCCCCTCAACAGCACGTAGCAGGCATGGCGGCTCCGCTCGAACAGCGCGGCTGTAATGCAGAGCAGAGGGAAAAGCCCAGCCTAAGGTCTCTGTGTTCAGACTGGCCACCAGACCCAACACCACACACCCATGGAGTCCAGGAGGTACCAGAAGGCCAGCGTCCTCCTGCGCCTCCTTGCTGGAGGGAGAAGAGGACTTACCACTGAATGCAATTATTTGGTCCGTGCTATTGCGGAGCTCCAACAGGACGTTAGTGTAGGAAGGATGGAAAAGATACAGCTTCTGGAGAGGAGCTCTGGATCTCTGCAACCAAGAGGACACTATCAGGACACGGACCCTCACGCTATCCCAGAGACAACGCCAGCACCAGGCTCAGCTATTACTCATGCTCGACAGAATATATCCAGTCGGATACTTGTCCGCATCTGCCCAACTCGCCCTGTCTGATGCCACTAGAAATAGTGTTGGGATTTTGCTTACTCCTTGGTGCTCTCCTCCCCACCCCAAGCTTCCCGCAAATAGCAGGCCTGTCTGCTACAGGCAGGAGACAGATTTTTGCCTTAGGGCTGGTAGAGTTAGCGAGGAAGCTCAGCTGGTGCTCGGGCATCCTCCAAGACACAACCTGCCACTAACGCTGCCAGCCACTGCCCCAGAGGGCTCTGTCACACAGCTGAGCTGCACATCGAGGCTGCCAGAGACCGCCTTGGCGCAGAGAGAGGATATTCACGTGGCCAGGGGGAGGTCGCTGTGTGCAGTACTGCCGGGGGGGGCTCCAGGCCAAACAGCAGCAGATTCAGAAGTACCAAGCCGGCAGCCTCTCGCCTCACCTACAGCACCACAGCAAGGCAGGGCTCTGGGCAATCCAGTGGCTTTGTTCATAGAGCCACCAAGTCCTTTTTCTCTACGTAGCCAGGCTGAGGATGACAATGTTCAGTTTTAGCACTCTCACTCCCAGAAGGACATTGAGTGTGTCCAGAGAAAGGCAACAAAGCTGGAGAGGGGTCTGGAGCCCAAGGCCGATGGGGAGCAGCTGAGGGAACTGGGGGTGTTCAGCCTGGAGGAGGCTGAGGGGAGACCTGATCGCTCCCTAGAACTGCCTGATAGAAGGGAGGAGAGCCAGGGGGTTGGTCTCTGCTCCCAAGTAACAAGCAATAGGACGAGAGGAAACAGCCTCGAGTTGCACCAGGGCAGGTTTAGATTAGATATTAGGAAAAATTTATTCTCCGAAAGGGTTGTCAGGCACTGGAACAGGCTGCCCAGAGAAATGGTCGAGTCCCCATCCCTGGAGGTATTTAAAAGCCGGGCAGATGAGGTGCTTAGGGACATGGTTTAGTGGTGGACAGGTACAGTTGGACTCGATGGTCTTTTCCAACCAAATGATTCCATGATTCTATGAAAATCTATTGGTGCCACCACCAGCTGCTAGCAGGGACATCGCTATAGACATTGTGAGGACCCCATACAGACCAGATCACGCTCGGATGTCTGCCTGCTTCTAGCAGACCAGGCTGGTCAGCGACCAGTGCAAGAGGCTGCGGCATTGGTGGCACAGACAGATATGAATGTGAACTCTGGGAAAAGGGGGTGGCTCCACGCAGTTCTGGCCCAAAGTCTGAAGAACAGCAACCATTCAGCAACACTACTCACCGTTTCGTTTCCTGCCGCCTGGTATTCACCCCAGATGAGGAAAGTGGACCGGTGATCAGCGGTAGAAAGTGTGGCTGGCCCAGGGCTCTCTGCTCTCGAGTTCAGCTTCAGGTCCCACTGGACTGCTCCAGATCCACTCTCAACAATCATAACCTAGCAGGGAAGAAAGAAAAGGAACTCCTACCAAAGAGCTCTCACAATCCATGAGAGAGAAGTCAAGTCAGCTGTCTCTATCCCACACTTCTATGGGAACAAGTATCTGACACATGGGAGGATGAGGAAATACTTGAAGCTGAGCATCAGAGAGCTGTGAGACCTGGGGCAGGCCATGTTAAAGTCACAAATTTTGCAGCTATTTCAAGGGGTTCAAACCTCCATCATTGAAGCCTCTTGCTGAGAAGAGAATTAAAGTGCCTGAGCTGGCTTCAGTAATCTGTTGAAAGAGATCCTTTCCCAGCCTAAAGCTTCCTAAAATCAGCCAGAGGAAACATACCCCACCAGCTGCCCTTGACTCAATGCATGCTTG